CCCCGTGGGACCCTCCCTGGCCCCGTGGGACCCCTGTTCCTGGCATATCGGGGCCCCCAGAGACGCAGCTGAGCCCACCGGCACGGCTGGAAGGTGTCTTGCCGTGCCCCTGCCCCAGGCTGGGCGCTCGCGGCGGCTCTGTCGGAGCTGGAGCTGAGCCGGATGCGTGTGTGCGCTCCGGCGCAGAGGCTGGCACCGACGGAGCAAATTGCCGCATCCTGGTGTGACCGGAGCCCCCGGTGTCTCTTCATTCTTAATTAGCGTGGGAGGGAGCAGGTTCCTTAACGAGCCTCCGGCTGGTGATGGGCTTTGGGCGGGTGGTCGGTCGGTACCGGGAGCAGTTTGGGCTGCCGGCGGCCTTTTTGGCTCCGCTGCTCCCGCGTCTTTTGGGCTGGGGAAGGACGAGCTTTGACTTCGCAGTTAGGGACGGCCTCAGTGTAGAGCGGGGTGGGGGTCCAGCACGAGGCTGGGGGTGCTGCGGGCACCCACCTCCTTCACCACTAAAGACCGGGTTGGTGTTTGGTGATGGCAGAGCCGGGCTTGCAAAGGGCTCAGGTTTTTTTCCACGCAAGCGTGAAGCTGGGATGTGGGCCCACGGAGAGTGTTTTATTGCCCAGGATGGAGCCGGTAATTCGCCATCAGCGCAGGCTGAGCCATGGGCAAGTGCTCACAAACACCGTGGCTAATGCTGCTCCCTGGGGACCATCGCCCTCCCATTTGATGCTCCTCCATCAAACGTGCTGGATACCTGATGGGGAAATTGCTCGGTGTCCTGGGCCTGATTCCCAGCGACAAGCTCGATGTTAATGTCTTGTTTCCAAAACCAGCACGGGTATTTTTACATCCCTTCCAGGGAAAAACCCACCCTGACTTGCTCCGCCACCCTTCTTCCCATCGTCACGATGCCGCCGTGACGCAGACGGCTGTGCCGGGCTCTGCAAATGCATCTTCGCGCCCCTCGCTTCGAACCTCGCCGACCTATTTACAGCTAAGAAATGCAGAGAGGCTTAATGAAGGGAGACGTGGGACTC